TCAAAAAGAGCGGTTCTATAACTCGAATAACAATGTTCCAGAATTTTCCATGGCCGTAGCTGAATTCTAGTTGAAACCGATAAGGCTTCAACAGTCACCTGGAGTAAAGCTAGCACTTCCTCTCTGCATGTCCTCACATAATACTGAATATATTTTTGACTCCTCCGTATCAGATGAAAATTTAACATACACAAAAGGAGAATCAGGAATTTTCTGAGACTGACACTAATTACAACCTTTTCCATATATCATATATTTATAGCAAAGCCTTTTTCCTTTGTTTAAGCTTGTTGAAAACACGGAATCAACTTTTCATCTATGTACAAAGAAAGCATATCCCTCCCAAGATTGCCCACTTTAATCTGGATGAAATTTATAAACTCTCGAAGCAATACTATGTGCAAGTGAAAATATGACCCAGTGTCACAGAAATTGAGTCTTTGCCATCATAACTTCAAAGTGAAATTTAGGCTGTGAAGGGTAATACGTCAGGAGTATGCAAGAAGAACTCATAATCTAGACACTGGCAGAAAGCTACAAGATATATAATCATTTTTCCAAAAAAAAAAATTATCCTACATTCCTCAAGATCCAGGAAAGATCCTTTAGATCAGTACTTTTTTCATGTATGAATCAGTCAGACCTAAAAGCAACCCAGAATTGTTACAGCAAAAAACCAACAGCCAGAAAAAGTAGAGGCATGATAGTCAAGCTCTTGTTCTCATCTTAAGGTGACTACATCACAAATTCAGAATAGCGTCTCTTCTAGAAAATAACAGAACCACTTTTCCTTTTGTGGAGATGAGGGAATTAAAACAAAAGAAAGCAGCCATTACCTCAACATTTAACTTGTATTGCATAACAATATTCCTACCTAGTTAGAGTACTTGGTACTAATGTTGTATTTGCATAACATTGTCATTTGGTTTATAAGAAGCCTGATTCTCCAATTGTCTTTCAAGTTAATCTGAGATTATTCCTTGGACCACAGTTCCCAAAACATTGTCATCGAGTCAGACACCTTATTAAAAAGTGGATATGGTAGCACTGAAAGCACTCAACATCAAACAAGGCAAAGTTCCTAAACAAATGTTCATGTGAAGTGATATAAGCAGCTAACTAGGATAAGATATTCTTCTCATGTTGTAACAGCTAAACCCCCAAAACCTCAATAGTTTTACTTATAAAAAGTTAAAGTCCTAAAGACACTCTAAAGTGCCAATTTATAATCTTCAACATCAGTACTTCTGCAAAAATAAAAGAAAATAAAAAAGGTCGTTAATTACCAACCAGTTGCAAATTGCAACGTGGAACCTTTTTTTTTTTTTTTACCTTCAAATTTACAATAAACAAGGTAAGCAATCCTAACTGGGGAGCACTCAGGAAAAAGGTATGCCTATCTGTTTTTGGTGAGTGATAATATTGGAGATTGGTGAAGGGCCATTATCATTGAAATCTGATAAGGCTCTCACAAATTAGAATGGAAGTGGTACCATTTGATAACTTGACACCCCTGCAATCGTCATCGAACAAGAAAACATTATTAGTTTGTTTTCTTTCTTTGTGGGAAGGTGCAGGGAGAAGAAAAGCACAGCGTGACCCAGATTAACATGAAAGGAAAAAAGCCATAAATTAATATTCTTTCAGCACCCATTTGCAAGGTTTGTTTAATATTTAAATGCAAGCCTCAAAAGCGAAGAAAGCTACAATTTTTAACTCTGCGAATCCACACGCACTTTGAATTGGGAATAGGGTTTCAACAATTAAACAAACCCAAGTCAAATTGAAATGGAATTCACGATGTGAAGAGGAATATTAAGACACAGTTGATTGATTATTATTCTTTCTCACCCAAGCCCACATGTCTTCACAGGGACCGAATCTTAGCCTTTAAAAGTATGAATCTTTGAGGAAACGTCAAAGAAAGAGGGTAATCAATGCTAATTACAATTACAAAGGTAACAATTGATTTTAACTTTAATTAGTTTTGCAATTCAGTCAATGTGGCCCTACCCAACACCTCAGAGATAAGAAACTTCTATCTGTCACTTGGGTTTAAACGTGGGAATATGGACTTTTCTTTTGCCATGAGAAGGGGCATAAAAAGAGAACCTTCACCGCATAAACCGATTGAAGAGAAGAGAAGCCTACCTATAAAAGTTGCAAGTAATAGTACTTAATTTCGAGGGCAGTTATATATACTTATTTATATAGATATAAAGTAGAGAAAACTAGGAAACTTCGTTATTAGTCCTCATCATTGTGAAAAATTGACCATTCTAGACAGATAATTGTTGTTTATATGTTATATGTTATATGTTACATACTTATAAATATTGAGCAATTTTTGTCACCGATTTGGCCTTATTGTTGGTGTCTATCTCTAACCATTTCAGCAAGCGGTTGACCAGCTACAAAACAAATTGAAAAGTTGTAGCTGATTTTTCCCAATTCAGGATATATGCAGTTAGGAATGGTATCTCCTTCAAAACAATGATAGACATATTGGGAAGGAAGTCTCAACAACCACAAAGGAAGGAACTGAAAGAAGAGGGGGATGGACAACACCTTCAAGGCACCACCAAATCATCTTTCTATTTGAGTAGCTTCCGAGAGTTATTCCTTATTCTCTCTTCTTTGGTGTCTTCACAGAAACAACAACCCCACCATGGAAACTCCTCCTAAATACAAATTCACATTGATCCTCTTCATCACCATCTCCCTCTCTCTTGGCTTAGTTTCCTTCACCTTGTGTGTGGTCTCCGAGATTAAGAGGAACAAGGTGCATAATGTGTTACTAGTCTACACTTAAGGAGTTTTTGCTTTTTATGAAAATGGTTATGAATTCTGATGCTTTGTTTGTTTTGTAGAAGGAGGATCTCAGATGGAATGGGAAACTATGTCATTTACCATCAAGTCCAGCATTTGGATTGGGTATTGCATCTTTGGTTAGTTTGGTTTTGGCCCAAAGCATTGGGAATTCTATACTATTCAAGAATTGTTGTTCAGGAGGGAAAAGAAACGCGCAGTATAAGATACCTGTCGTTGCAAGAATTCTACTTTTGATCTCTTGGTAGGTTAACAATCCTTTGCATATCTGTTGTTAGTTGTTAGAACATCGCATTCAACAATCACAGATTAAGGAAACGAACCAGTTTGCATGCTTAATTATTGGCTTCTACATTGTCATCATTTACCTGTTGGAATTGACATATTTGCTCTAAAAACAAGTTTGATTCTTTATAGAAAGTGGACACACCACCATCCAATCTAGTTGTAAAACCAAATTTTCTTTCTTCAGGTTTGTATTGATTTTGACGATAAAATAAAGACTACATCATTTTCAGAAACTGTGTGCCATGTGGTTTGCCATTATTGGCCACTAGTTGAATCATTTTTAGGATAGAAAATGCATATATAGAAAAGTAGGGGTGGAATGTGAAATTAACATGGACAGCTGGTCTGTCTCAAATTCTTTAATTGGTCTGTCCTCCAAAAACCCAGAACCATTTTTCCTTAAAAGAAACATAATAATGTTAGGATTATAATTTTGCCTGAACCACTAGAGATTGGGATAGTATACATAAAGTTCTGCGGTCGAATTTTGTTGCTATGATTGTAATTACCACTGATCAAAGAAGATTATAATTTTGCCTTTGAAACTTACAAGTCTAAAATTGATATTGGTCATGCTTGGCAGGATTGGCTTTGCAATTGTAGTTATTTTATTAATTGCTACCACAAGCATGAGCAGAAAGCAGCCCTATGGGGAAGGGTGGTTGAATGGTGAGTGCTACCTTGTCAAAGGAGGGGCATACACTGGTTCAGCCATATTGATCCTAGTTACAGTGGGTTCGTTAATTGGTGCAGCTTTGTTAACAATGAAGACCAATCAAGCAGAACAGGGTCAGAAAGTACACGCACAAACGGGGTGACACTTGAGATTAAAGAATTTATGTATACATGGAAACCATGCAGAGTCAGAGTTTTGGTGCAAACCAAGAAGCTATAAAATGAATTGAGGACCGTCAATTACTCTTAGAAAGAAGCCTCACAAGTTGAAGAGGGAAAGGTCCAAGGCATACAATCTCAGACCAACAAGAGGCTTCCAAAGGAATACTAGTCTTTAGAAGTAAAGGAAGGTGCCGGAAGCAACCAACATTCATTAAATTGTTTGTTAAATGTACCGAGGAATAACTATTTTTTCGACTTACACGATACGAAAGAGACATTTCTTTTGTACACATACACATTATCTCCATGGTAGTGACTGCCTCATAGGAACTCATTTTGGATCCCACTCGCATAATTAATAATTGTTTTGTATTTTTTATTCGGTACTTATAGTTTTCAACAGCTCACTTGTAGACATCGTTTCATTTATTTTAAAACAATTATGCGAGTCGCAGGCCACGCAAAGAATGATAATCCCCACCCCAAAACAAAATTATTCTCGTAACGGGCAGACCATATCATACTACTTTCCCGAAGGATGCCTGGCCATAGACAGCATTTCAAGAACAAAATTCAATTATTAATAATGAGATCACATTCACAATTAAACCCTAAAAATAGTTGTTAGGGTTTTCCCCATGAATTAAAATATTAAACTAATATTCATAATTTCGGAGGAATATATGTACACAATTATATTCCAAGTTTTAACGTAGTTCCGCTACTCTCTTTTTTCTACGACGCACAATTATTTTCAATCATATTTCGATTCTGCCGTTACACAGGGTTTAGTAACTGAGTACCGTCGCACAGCAATTGCACAAATATCAAGAACCTGAATTTAATAGTAAACGTCTTGACTTTTGAACTCGGAGAATAAAAGAACAAAAAATTAATCAACAATCCTCCACAAACGCAATGGATCAATGATCATAGCCTAACGTCTACCAGTTTAAAAAATCACAATCCTGACACTAAGTGAAAGGCTGAAAGCTTTATGGAATAAAGAGAAGATTAGCATTCTCCTGTTCGTTTAGTATAAGATGTTATAGAGAATGTTGATTGATTATATAGCAATTAAATTTAATATGCTGAGAGTAGAACAATAAAATGTGAAAAATCCGTGACAGGACAGACTTTGGGTTGCACCGCATCGAACAAGTCCATACAGTTTTTCAAATTAAGAAGACTGAAGATCAAGCAAGACACGTGTACTCTGATGCCTTTTCTCAATCAAAGTGATTTAATAGAAAATCTAGCCAACCTTGTCGCAAACGCTGGCTTGACTTATTGTAACAAAGAAACCTGACCATCTGTCTTTCAAAGTAAGACTAGGGTAGACACATTCTCATTTCCACAAACATCTCAAATTCTCTCAATCACCTCTATTTGTCCCCCTCCTTTTCATCATCAACACCAACACTCTCGCAGGTGATTGGGAGATGTAAAAATAAGCTAGAAAATCATTTACCCAAAATATAACCTATGATAAAATCAATGGCGTAAAAGAATTCCTTAGATATCAAAAAGAGGCACATACAAATATGGTCCTGGTACAATAAGCTAGAAAAATAGATGTTCAGAAAACGTCTTAATTCGATTCCCAAATTATTAAAAAAGCAACATTACCATGGGATATATATTGTATTGTAGAAAAAAAAAATTGTCAGCATTTAAAAGTTATCATAAGCATAAATCCATACAGTATGAATTTTTATCCTCTACTAAGGTCACTAGGAATGCTGAGCAACGGCTATGTACGTCTCAAAAGATGCCATCTTTTTAATAGGAGAGGGTGGGGGAAGAGAAAATTGGTCCATTATAAGAGTAGGGAGTTCCTCTAGCTACTGATTGCTATATAGAATAATGAACAGTAATTACTTGAAACGTCAAACACCAGCTCATGAGTCCAAAAATATACATGAACATGGCAGTCACTTGTAAGTTTGACATTCCAGCATCCAGGCATGAAAGTTCCAAAAGCATGTTAACATCATTGACATAAAGCCAAAGATCACACAACAAACATAGGCAAAATTGGTGGGGAGCTTTGGAAACATGAGGTAAACAGAAATCTGGATAGCACTAGAAAGGAAAGTTTGGTCCACGCCCTCTTCCATTGTAGCTATAACCCCTTCCCCAATTATATGAGCCCCTGAAATTCACACCCCGTCCAGCACCATAACCACCGTGACTAAAATTAGGCCTCTGCTGGAAATTTCCAAATGTCTGAAAAGGAAACAAATAAACTATACATTAATATTACATTGTAGTTTAAGGATAATTTTATACCCAGCAATTTCAGTTCTTAATGTGTTTGCAGACCTCAGTATCCACTTTCATTCTCTCTGAGAAACGATTCTGTCCATTCCTTGATCCACGAGTCAAAGAGTTACAAGAAATTGTGTCAAAGAAGTCATCTTTCTTGTATGCAGACTGCAAGGAAAGGCAAGAATATAAGATTTATTGAAGTTCAAACAAAATTTGCTTTACAGTGCCAAAAATCACATGCTACACAACTTTGTTTTTACTCTTTCC